TCTATATTGGCTACAATATGATGTTAGAGTTATTTCATTTTATTTATGTATTTTAATATTATAAAAAAAAATTTTTTAGTAACTGATTGAAAGATGCATTTTTTAGATAAATTCAATTTTTTTTTTTAAAACTATGAACTATTTGAAAAAAAAAGGGACCTTTTTGCAAAAACATACAATCTTTTTTTTTTTTTTTCCTCTCTGTAAAATGCAGAAATCAGAAAACTTTCATAACCGATGCAGCTAGAACGTGCGCGATTTCTTACACTGAACCACTCATCTATTTGACCATGGATAAACAACAACCATGCGTCTTTCAAATAAAAGAAAGATTACATGCAAAAGTTCTGGATATTTCTAGAGAGGAAAACAGAATAAAAGGGGGATGAAGCAGCTAACATTTTACTTTCAGATTTCAAAATTAATGAGACAAAACCATATCAAGTACTTTTGTCTTTCACTGCTATTGCTGACGACCTGAACCAAGGAATCCACACTGAAGTTGTCTTCTGATACAATCTATATGCTTCAGCTCTGTAATCCTGCCCCAACATCCTCCGTTCCACCAGGAGAGTCACATAAGCTAAGCACATACTATTGATCAGTGATCCAATGAAGGTCCATCCATGTCCAAGGCTCCATGCCAATAAAACCAGTCCCCACCACCATAGTTGCTCGCCAAAGTAGTTTGGATGACGAGAATACTGCCAAAGGCCCCTGTCAAGAGTAGCCACCAGAGGCTTTCCAAGCTCTTTTAGCTTCTGATTTCTAGTCACGAAATCATACAATTGGGTATCTGCAAAGTAAGCAGTGAAAATGCCACACAAACAGACCGCAGCAGCAACAAAATCCCATATGTTCAGTGGCTTATCGACAGAGTGAACAACATAAAATGGGAGACAAACTCCTATCAAAAAAACCTGCAGAGTTTAAGTAAGCCATTAAGTTAACAAGCAAACATGTCTTTTAATTCCAATAAAGCCACTCTCCCCTATTTTCCTCGTTTGTGTTCAAATCAACACTTTCTAATCTACGAAATCTCGTTCAGGCAATTCGTCGAACACTTTATCAAAATGAGAAAATTTGTCAATTGAACTAAGGAAAGCATAAATCTTTACGATGTAAACCAGCTGGGAAACTAATTTACCTGTTCGGAAAGGTAGATAGCAAAGAACGAAACCCACCACCAATGTTTGCCGTATTGTCGGCTCATATCGGTGAACCTCCAGTCTTCTCTGGCACCCCATTGCCATCTCGCCCGGCGGAAGTAATTATGAGCAAGCCTAATACTCCATACCCATGTCAGCAGTATCACGATCTTTGATCTCCACGAGTTGTACTGCCCCAGTGGATGCGTTGCATAGTAGTGAACCAGCAAAACTGGGATCACTGTCCAATACAAATCTATCATCTGTAGCAAGCAAACCAAATCAGTCAAGTGAGAAGGTAGACAATGATAGCCAAAAAAAGAAACTGGAAAAAAAAGAGAAAGGACCGACCCAGTGGCTAGATTGGATATGGCTGATGACCCAGAAGAGGACATTGACGTTGAAGAAGAAGAAGACATTGGCTAAGAGAATAGGATGGTGAAAACACCATGACCAAAGAGGGGAATTATGAGAACTTTTCTCATAATGGTTGAGGAAATAGAGGTGGAAGAGGATTGAAGGGAGGGCAACCAGAAATGCGATCACTGCGTTCTTCAAGTTCCTGCCCATATTGTCTTCTCAACTTGAGATTTGTAGACAATGGAGGCCTACTTTTATAGTCGCATCTGGGCAGGGAATCAAGTTGAAATTTCTCCTTTTCAAAAAAATAGATGTTCGACATTTTTGCAACTAACTGATCATGACACATGAATCGAAAAGAGGAAGAACCCAAATGATGAGGAAACATTAGCATGCGTGCATGGTGGAATGCATTTGTGGTTCCCCTCCCAAGGTCCAAGGTGGAGTAATCCCAATCATTAATTGGACCCCACAGAATATTTTGTTGTTCTTTAGTCTAATCTAATCATTTGGTGATTTATCTTTACTAAACTACAACCAACCTAGGAGACTAGATTAAGTATTCATCCCGTTCCTAGGAGTATAATTTAACCAATAGGCTTCCGTTTTTGTGTGGGAATCCACTATCCAAATGCAATTTAGCACGAATCTAAAGGATTTTTCTAATGTATGCTTAGGAACTTATGTTAAAAATATAATTAATATATTTTTGACAATTAATTTATATTAAAAAATAAAAATAAATATTTAAGTTATTGATTACCCAATTAATATCATTTAGGTGGCATTAATACTAATTTAATTTCAACTTTTGCATTTTTCCATGTCAATTGCATAGACAGACATTGTAATTCAACGCAATGTACAGTATAATTATTAAAAAATTATTATTTTTAAATTTAAAATTAAAAATAAACAAATTTAAATTTATAACTGTAAATATATGACATAAAAATTAACTAAATCAATTGTAATTATATTATATTTTACTAGTTGAATCGAGACGAGTGTCAAAAAAAATGTTGAACAAAATATGTACCAATTAGATAAATAGACATCCACTTACATGCAAGTTTTATATACTACTTTTACATAAAATTTTAACTATTTATTTGTCCACTTTTAACCGTTGAGATTTATTTATATTCAATAACAATAATTTATCTTTTTCATCTAAAAAAAATTATGATAAATTTCAATAATTGAAAGTGAAAAAATAAATGGTCAAAATTTTATTTAAATGTAATATATAAAACTTATATGTAAATTAATCTCCCCTCGGATTAAAAACTAAAAAGTGTTTTAATTACAATTTTTACCTCTATAAGTTAGACAAACCCATTTCTAAATTAAAATTTTCTAACATGGGGCTTAAAAGGGTATATTAATTTTAACCTTTTCTTGTTAATGCTTATAAAAAAATAAGAATTCCTTTAATTTTATTAACTATCGGAATTAAAATCATACCGTAAGAAAGGAAAAACATAACTTTGAATGAGATTTGAATTCTTCAGAGTGTAAGACTTTTGCTGTGAAAACTGAGGTCAAGTTTGTATCATTTTTCAGTAATTTAAAAACACCAAAGCGTGATAATGCAACACTAGCCACATTATTATGAAGATGTAAATAATGTTTGCAAGCTGGAAGGGTGGCTTAATTATTTGAGAGATCCCACTCACATGGCCCCTTAATCTTTCGTGCTCGCCGCAATCAGCGCAGAAAGTCAGCGAGCAGCAGCTGTATGGATTCCACGCATGCGTGGGGGCTGAAGAGTGGCTGTGTTCATTATACTTTATGAGCTTAAAGAACAAATGGAAGATAACTAATCAATTAAAAAGAAGGGGAATACAAAAGACAGTCCAGCCAGAACTTATCCTAAATTTCTAACATAACATCTCAACTTCACAAGCATTAGAGAAACAGCAACGAGGTTCCAAAAGGCAAAGAAAGTGAAAATGGGAAAGCCAATGGTGAAGACTGGATAGAAACTAGCAGTTGTTTGATCTTATGGCTAAGCCAAAGTACTGTTTTCATTTGGAATATCATTTTCTAGAGATCCGCTTGATCTTGCTGCTAGGCTCATTGCCATTTGAAACGCCATTCTTTATACTTGCAGTCAGCTTGTTCTTGTGACTCCCAAAAGGGTCGTTGCCACGTTCAATGTCATTCTTGATTGATCCCTGAATCCACTTAACAACCAACCACTAGAAGACGGAGAGAGATGTTTGAGAAACATATTCATTAAATGCCACTTTGGCCAGAAGACAAAGTGATAAATGATGGAAACCTCACCTGAGCCCCAAGAATAAGGGGGATCCACATTTTTCCTCTATCATTTGAGTCAGGTCCGTCAATTAACTTCTTGTCAACAAGGATGGGTTGGCTTCTATTTGTGGCGACACTTGTGATTGCTTTTACCAAGTTTAGAATCCAAACATCACCATTTGGAAGAATCTGTGTTTAAGCAAGATGTTATTTCCAATAAACAATAAGAGAGCATTCAAATATATTATAGGACATATTCAAAGCACAAGATTCCAAACCTTCTCATCTTTCCCATTTTTGTTGCATCTCCCACTATTTTCAACCAGAACAACTGGAATCGCATAATGCTACAGGCAACAAAAGCAGTAGAACATTTGAGAAGGTAATCAGCAAATCATTAAAAAAGAAACAACTAATTCAAAGAAGTTACAAATTAGATAAACCTCCATTATGTACGAAACACACAGTCCATTTATAAAAGAGCAGCTCAAATTTCATTTACTGCTTTTCCATATATATCAGGTGTAAAAATAATTGCATCCATCTCATGAAAAGCTCTTAGAAGCAACTAAAATTAGATAGAAAGGTTTTGATCTCCTAACCTAAAGTCAAAACAGTACATTCAGAAAGTGTGTGTGTGTGTGTGAGAGAGAGAGAGGGAGGGAGGGAGAGAGAGAGAGAGAGAGAGAGAGAGAGAGAGAGAGAGAGATGGGGAGCATACAACTTACAGGTGATAAATAACATACATAATTCAACTTAATATTCATGAGAAAATATAAACTTATTACTTCATTACAACCAGTCCAACTTTGTTAACTTGGACTAATTTAACTCCAAACAAGAATAAAGAACATGTACCTCAAAATCATTTTTACCAATCCTGGCACCAATGCTTATTGCGTTGAGGACAGCATTTGATCTTTTAGAGGAGAAATCATCATAACTTAGCCCATCTGGTGGGCAAAGTTGAGCATGAGTAAGCACAAGCAAACTTTTGCACCATATTTTTTTGCCAAAAACATCAGTGATTGCTCCAATGATCTGCTTATCTAAGCCATCCACTCTATACGCATCCAAACGATCAACATAAAGCAACACATCTATGGTCTTATTCAAAAGAAATCTGCATCAGAAAGTTAGTCCATTAATAAAAGGAACCGAACTACAGACATGAAAAGTAAGGGATACATTTGTCAAGCAGCAGATGAATTCTAACTAGATCCCATAATTCTAGTACCAACCCTTTAATCAGCCCAATGGCTTGATGATTGATATATCCACCCTCCACAAGCCCGGGAGTGTCAATTATGTTCAACGTGAAACCTGACCAGGAACGTGAAACCATTGTCGGCCTAAGTCCTTCTGACTGCAAAAGAAAAATATGATGAGAATTCATTGATAAAAAAAAAAGGCAATACAACAAAAAAGATCCCCAAGAGACATCAATAAAACAATTTGGAGGAACGAGCAAAAGAAATTCACACCTGAAAGGAACTGATTCTCATAACTTGCTCTCCAATAAGAGAATTGACCGTGGAAGATTTCCCAACACCGCCTTTGCCCATTACAAGGATGGTCATAGTGTCCACATTCTGCAATTTGTGATAATCACACCAATGGAGAGAAAACAAAATAAAGACTATTCAACTAAATAAAGAAACTAGAAAGAA